TTAGAAGAAAAAAAATGACTCGATGTTACACTAACTCTCAAACAAATTTAATTCGTAAAATATATTTTTATTTATTTTCGAATATTTAATTAAAATTTCAATTTCTTCGGATTAAAAAATATTAAAAGTTGTTTGAAAATAAATAATATAAAAAAATGAAGAAATTAAATAAAAAAAAATAGTAATAATTACATCCTAATAAAATATATATATATATATATATATATATATATCTATTTTTTAAAAACTAACAAAAAAAAAATCAAGTTTAATTCGATTTAAATCGCTCAATTCATATAAAAAATTTATTTATTTGAACGAAACCAAGTGAGGGAGGGGGGAGGTGTTATGTGAGGAGTGGATGGATATCATTTTCATTATCCACAATGCCACGTCATGCCTCAAATGTCCCATCAAACTTGCTGGTTGCTGGGACATGTTGAAAATGTGGGCTTATTCTTACCATAAATATAAAATCCCAGTATTATGCTAAATTCCCTCAAACAAAAATTAATTCCCATTTAAAAAATTAAAAAAAAAAACTTATAATTCGCATTTAATGTTTAAAAAAATTAAAATACTTATCCCGTAGATATTATTTTCAGATTCTAAGTCATGGTAAATGATAAGATAAGGAATCATTATAAAGGGAGTAAGATTCGGATTACCTTGTTGATTAAGGCAAGAACACTGTTTGAGATTCGAATCACTCTACAATCAAAATTGATCCTGTCTAGTTTGAATGATTCTTATTGATCAAATATCTCACCGCAAGAACATTTGTTTAAAATTCGAATTACTCTATAAGCAAGATCAATCATGTCGAGTTGGAATGATTCAACATACAACCCAAACTACGTAGAATTATATAATTAAATTAAGTAAAGTAAAATATTTTATTTTTGGAAAAAATAATATATTCATATTCCATCGTGATGTTATGAACATTTTAAAAAGAATACTATATTAGAAATTAAGAAATAATTCTGAAGCATATGCTTTTATTAATGAATTCAATTTTTTTAAAACATGTTTTTTATTTAAATAAAAGTAACAACTATTTTCAAAGAAAAAGGTTTTTAAAAAGTCCGTACTTTGGTAAAACATTAGTTGTAATAATCAAGATTAAATTTCACGTAATTCTTGATTTATATATCTTATTTTGTTTTTATTCTATTTTAGATTTAATAGAAAAAGGAGTATTTTTTTCTATTAAAAATTAAACTTTGAAAATTAAGCAACCGTGGGAATATTTGACAAAAAAAGCCATTTTGATCGTAAGACCCAAACACCTCTCCAAATGGCAATATTCTATTGGTTCATTCGAATATTGATTTTTTTTAGATAAACACGAAAATAGAGGGTTGGATTAAGTTGGGTTATCGGTTGTTTTTTTTAATATTTTTAAAAAACATAATTATCTAAAATAACATACTATATTAATAATTAAAATCTCGTAAAATTCAAATATTAAAACATTCCCATAGCATCACTAGTATTGGTTACAAATATTAAATATTTTTAATTTTTGTAATAGTATCAAAAGTATGGAAAATAGAGTACGGTTAGGTTAACTTGTAAATCTATTTTAAAGTTGATTGGGTTGATCTGACAAAAAAAAAAAAAAAAAAAAAAAAAAAAAAAAAAAAAAAAAAAAAAAAAAAAAAAAAAAAAAAAAA